AACCAGGGGAGATAGCATCATGGTCAGTCCCTCAACGCATTCGTCCTATCCCTAAAATCGCTGGCTTGTTCGTGCAATTTCTATGCCTGTCTGGAAGAGAGTCTAACAAGGGAACGAATTGTTGTTGGCCACGGGATTCTGCTGTGGTGTAGCGCCTCCTAAAAATTCCAAAGCTGACATTGAAACAATGCATCGACATATGTCGGAGCGAGGAAGCAGCAGAGAAGCATATGGAGACGCTTATCACAACAGACTATTAAGATTGTGCAAAATTGCCGTTGAAAATCGAACACATCCAACAGCTGCTGGAGGTTTCTGTGGCCGCATACATCGGATGGGAAGAGGCAACTACCCTGCATGGAGAAAAACGTGCGATAACTGCAAATAGCGTAATCATTTTGGAACAAAGTGTTTAATGAAGAAAGAATAAACTTCAGAACCTCACGTTTCAGCAGCTGATCGTGTCAGTGGTGTACAACTACCGGTCAAACGGAAAGGCATATTTGCAAAAATGTTGGTGAATGGAGAAGAAGTAACGTTCCAACTAGATTCTGGTGCGTCCGTCAACATACCGAGAAATTGCGTACCCGATACCAAATTGGACCCTAACCAGACGAGATTGGTTATGTGGAACAGTGCAAACGTGGAGCCGAAAGGAGAAACCCTTATTACACTGAAGAATCGTAGCAACGGAGTCTCTTCTGTCGTGAGTTTTGTCGTCGTGAAGCCCGGTTATGTTCCAAGCCTTGGATATGAGTCCATCGAGCTACTTGGTTTGGTTTGGTTTAACTATTATTCATTTGTTTATCGCGTTTGTAAAGACACTGAATACTACCTGAAAAAGTATGACTCTGTTTTCGATGGAAAACTGGGAAAGTTGCCAGGAACTGCGACACTTCACATAAGCGACGCAGTCGAGCCCGTTGTTTTACCAACGCGGCCGATCCCACTTGCTGTTCGAGAGGAATTTTCGCGTGAAGTGAATGACCTTATCGCCAAGGGCGTTCTGGAGAAAGTCGATGAACCCACGGACTGGGTAAGTCAGGTTGTGGTGGTGACGAAAAAGTCTGGGGAATTGAGAATATGTATCGATCCGAAACCATTTAACAAGACATTAGGACAGGAGCACTTCACCCTACTCATTTTTGACGATATACTACCGGAATTAGCTAATGCAAGATACTTCACGAATGTGTATTTAGCTTCTGCTTTTTGGCATTTAGAGCTAGACGATGGATCAAGGAAGCCACTCGGGCGATATCGTTGGAAAAGACTGCCGTTCGGTTTGAAAGTATCAAGTGAAATTTTTCAAAAACGAATCCCCCAAGTGGTAGATGACTTACCCGGTGTATTGTGCGTGGCGGACGGCATTCTGATTTTTCCCAAAAATGCAGATGAACACAACATACGGTTTTAAGGCTTTTTACAGCGTTGTATACGAGACGGAATCAAGCTGAAACAGGACAAGCTAATTTTTTTTCAATCGAAAGTCAGCTTTCACGGTCACGTACTAACAATTGAAGGGATCAAATCGGACCCGGAGAATGTAAAAGCGATTGTCGAAATGCCTCTCCCAACCGATGCGAAACGCGTATCACGATTCAATGGGATGATAATCTATCTCAGTAGATTTCTTCCAGAACTAGCGGAATTGATGCGGTCGATTCGACGTTTGACACAAAGGAGAACCGTGTCTTTGGGCACAAGAACAACTGGCGGCTTTTGATCGCGTCAAGCAACTTATTGTGAAAGCCCCAGTACTGGCTTACTTCGATCCCAACGCACCTCTGTGCATACAAAGTGACAGCAGTCAACTTGGCTTAGGTGCCGTGCTCCTTTAAAATGGGTGTCCATTAGATTATCGCAGTAGGACACTAACGGCCTGCGAACAAAGGTACGCCCAGATTGAGAAAGAAATGCTAGCAATTTTACATGCGATGGAGAAGTTCAATGATTACACATTTGATCGACTCACGCATGTACAGTCGGATCACAAACCACTGATCTTGATTGTGGATAAACGCCTCCATAGATCACCAATGAGGTAACAATCGATGCTAATACTTCTACAGAAATACACTTATGAGCTGCATTACGAACAAGGTAAACACATATTTGTGGCGGACACGTTGTCACGAGCCACACTGCCCGACGAAGAACAGGAACAAAAGCTGGAATCCGTGAACGTTGCGTTGGCGGCGACGCAGTTCGATGTGTCTCACATACGAACTGCAACTATTGACGATGCGATTATGCAAGAGCTCAAAGGAGTTATCACTCGTGGTTGGCCAGAAAACAAAAAAACCCTTCCGATGGACGTATTGCCCTACTTCAAATTCTGAGATGAACTAACTGTTCACGATGAACTGATTTTTCGTGATGAAAAGTTGGTAGTACCAAAAACGATTTAACAAAACGTAATGCGTTTGATACATTGCTCTTACGCCGGTACCAACGGATGCCTCAGTCGCACCATTACATTACATTATTGGCCGGGAATGTCAGAACAGATAAAACACTTGATTGCTAAATGTGAAATTTGCAAGAAGTTTAATCAGCGACAAACGAAGGAACCGATGAATATGCGTGCAATACCAGAGAGACTATGGCAGATGGTAGCGCTGGATATTTTCACCACGGAAAAGACACCTACTTGATAACTGTTGATTACTACAGTGACTTTTTCGAAGTTGATTTACTGCGATCCAGCACGTCGGCGGAGATCATTGATAAACCGCTCGTTCATTTCGCACGACACGGAATACTCCTACAGGTGATTTCCGATTGTGGCCCCCAATTTCTTAGTACCAAATTCCTGAAATTCAGTGAGCAATGGCGTTTTGAGCATCACGTTACTAGCCCCTATCCTAGTCAGTCCAATGGCAAAGCAGAAAGCGTAGTGAAAGAGGCAAAGAAGCTTGCCAAAAAATGCGGCACGGATGGCAGCGACCCACTAATGGCTCTGCTCGATTAACGGAACATACCGTCGGCCAACATGGGAACCAGCCCAAGCCAACGTTTATTTGGCAGACGCACACGCACGGTTCTACCCATTTGCGACCAGTTATTACAGCCACAGACTACGCCATCAATAGTCATGCAGTCAAGGCTAAGGAAACGCATGGCGCTACAGAAGAGATATTACGAGTGCGCCAGTAAACCTCTGTGCTCACTCAGATCAGGGGACACGGTTTGGATACAACCACTGGAGCAAACGGAGGTGTGGGCGAAGAGGGAAGTGATTTCGCGATCAACAAAACATCGTACCTAGTGCGCTGCGGTCAACGGGTAACACGGAGAAATAGAGTTCATTTGAGGAAAAGGGGAGAGAATGGCGACGAAGACGAAAAAAGAGAAGATTCAAATACCGTCTAGGAGGATGTTGAAATCATTGTACAGGAACCGCAGCTAGGAATACCAACGACGGGTATGACAGCACAATCTCCATCCCGAACACGAAGTGGACTAATCTAACAATCAGGATCATAATTAAAAACTTTCAAAACAAAAAGGAAGTGTTGTTTGTTTGTTTTACTGCATCAATTGTGTTTTCATGATTGATCCACGTGTCGCTTGTGCACAGTAGCATCATTCAAGTCGGTAATTTCCACCATGACTTGACCCAGTTGTCGTGTGAATATACCAAACGCGGATAGCAAATCATTACGACGGAAGTATACGACGTCGCTAGAGTCGAGACACTGTAGGGAGGATCCCAAGCGTCTGAATTTACGAAGCATTGCCGAGCCCTCCTTGGTGGTTGTATGTGTTGTGTTTCGGTATTGGAGTAGGAAATTATCCACCAACGTTTCCAATTCAGTTAGCGTTTTAGGATTGGCAGACGCAGTCGCATTCTTCACCATTTTGACCAAATGCTTTGCTGCTTCGTTCGAACAGGGGTCACGTGGCGCAGTTCGAAGATGTCGGCAACCAATGCTGTCCATCCAAAGCTTCATTTCGGTCGCACAGAACTGAGATCCATTGTTCATCACAAGCACTTGTGGAATCCCTTTCGGAATAAAACATTTCCATAGTACTTGTATAAAAATGATGTAGTAGACTTAGTCATGCAGAATACGTCTATCCATCTGGAGTATGAGTCGATCACAACAAAGGCATATTACCGGCTCATAAATGGACCACAGAAATCCAAATGAACCCTTTGCCATGGTATTGTAGTGATCAACGAATTCCCATTCTACGTGTACCCTTCCTCTTGTGCACCTTATTGTTTTACCACACCAAGGCCACCTCTTTGGTCAGCACGCGTTTCCTGTCACTTTCCGCACGCTCGCTCACGCCTCTGTATCTCTC